CCACTGTGCTTCTCATCAACACTTCTTTCATGTATTTTGTGTTTCTTCCTCTGCTGAGTGAATTTCCCAGTGGTTGTTCCCTTTACTCTTAAAGCCAGCAATCAGTATTTAACCTACACATAGTATCATTGCCCAAAGGTGACTTGCAGTTGAGTTGTTGCAGGCAAGCATGACTCTGTACTGGCTGGATCCCCATAATACTTCTGTGTTCACACTGGAGGCACGAGTGTTTTCCAGCCTGAGATAGATATTTTGATGAATGTTTATACTTTATGAGGCACACACAGTTACAAGCAAAACTCACAGAGAGCACCTTGTTGTGGATTGGGTTTAAACTGTCGGGCTAGTATGAGCAATTCTTCGTGCTAAATTATAAACACTGTCATAACACATCTTGTATACGTGCTCATTCTAATTCATGTTGGTAATGTTTTAACGCTATAATTCATGGCAATAATTTGGAAGAATTGTGAAGAGAAGCAGAAAGAGAAAGTAGTGAAACAATGTGTGCATACAGTACAATTTCAGAGAGACAGAACAGACAGTAACACAAATTAGACTGCGTACTGGAAAACATTTGTTTGATGTTGTTAACGTAGAGTAGGGCATATTAGTCCCAGCTCAGCTGAGCTGAGACTAATATAAGTCATTTGAGAGTTTTACATGGAACAAAGACAGTGAATTTTATTTTCTATGTCTTTCAGTGCAGATGCATATAAAAGGATATGGGGAACATGGTCATGCAAAATTATTAAAGAGATCAACAGCCCTTTCAGTAACATTTGGGCTTTGCATTAAGACGAATCTGAACATCCATCATGAGGAAGGAGAACAAGAGAATAAGAGGGAGAAGTGGGAGAAAGGAGAGTTGCCGTCAGTTGTGCATGGCTGCTTTTTTTTTCCACGTAAAAGCGGCGTTTTCTGCAGCCCCTCTCCCTCTGTCTTATCTGCACCTGATCACTGTTGCCTCTCTCCTATCGCTTTGCCTCTATGTTTCTCATCAGCTCTTCCTCTCTCTTTGCTATCTCGTAGCCACTCTGCCACACTCCACGGGCTACAGCAAACGGCTCCCCTGTCGTTTTATCGCACATACACGCACGCATGCACACAAACGCGCACACAAAGAAGCTCGTGCGTGCATGTGTGTGTGCTTGAGAAGATGCGAACATTTAAAAACAATCGTGTTTACATGACGAAGGCTACAGAATCACATAGATATCCTGTAATGTGTATGCATATAGCAACTGACAACCTCTGCTGCTGAAAAAATTAAGCCATGCAAAAAAATAGAGTTTCTTATAAGACTGCCTACAAAAAAGTTTTAGCTTCATTAGATAATTTAGAAATCAATAATAATAACTGAGACGAGTGGTCTTGTTTATAACTAACCCTTTTCAATTTGATTAAGACTTAAAGTAAAAGGCTTAGCTGTAGTCAGCATCAGTCTGCTCTCTAATTTAATTGAATAATGGCAAATAATATGACTTGCTGTGAGGTATAGTCCATCTGAGAGGTTTGTGCTCCAAACTTCTGAGCATAAACTTCAAGTATTTTATTAGTGTTGCACTAATAAAAGATATCTGTATCTGTGCCGTGCAGTTTATGAAGACGGCTTGCTAACAAAATTTCCTAGCTTTTTCTTCTTCCAGCTTATCACTTTAGAGGTTGTTACAACTGTCTATCTGCCTTCATTTTACCCTATCCCTAACATCGTCCTGTCACATCTCAGTCACACCAACCCTTTGCATGTCCTCCTTCACTACATCTTGAATCTAAGTCTTCCTCTTTTTTCTGACCTGGCAGCTCCATCTTCGACATCCTTTGCCTAGTAAATCCACCATCTGGATATCTCCCAATCATCTCACCCCCTAACTTTGTCTTCAAACTACTCGATTTGAGCTGCCCCTCTGATGTACTAATTTCTTATCCTTTCAATCCTGGTCACTCCCAATAAACATTTTACAATGTTCAGCTCCACCTCCTGTCTCTTTGTCAGTGCTACCATCTCCAAATCATATCAAAGTAGGTCTCTCTACCATCGTATAAACCTTCCCTTTCACTCTTGCTGCTCTCCTTCTCTTACAAATCAAATCTCATCTCCACTCTCTTCTCCTCCTCCCTTGAGCATTGCCTCTTGCTACGGATGGTTGAACCCAGGTATTTAAACTTATCTACTTTTACTACCTTTGCTCCTTGAAGTTTCACTGTTACACCTCTGTCCCTCTCATTCACACAGATGTATTCTGTCTTGCTTCTACTGACTTTCACTCCAGAGCATGCCTTCACCTCTCCAGGCTCTCTTGCACCTGCTCCCTGCTCTCACTACAGATCACAGATCACCTGCAAACATCATAGTTCACAGTGACTGCTGCCTAACCTCATCTGTCAGCATGTTGTTGGCATGTTGTTGGAAAATACTGACAGCGCATGGACGGATAGCCCAACAGATGCCACCACTGTCTCACCATCCTCATACATGTCCTGCACCACATCACATCAATAGTGTTCTTTCTCGGCATGAAGCCATGCTGCTCACTGATCATAACCTCTCTTCTTAACCTAGCTTCAAAAACTCTTTCCCATATCTTCATGGTATGTCTCATCAGTTTCAACCCTCTGTAAGAAAAAGTTTGCAAACATTAGTTGATAATTTAGCACTACACCCACGATGGTCACTTTGCAGCAACAAAATTACACTGCTGCTTTGAGATGCATCCAGAAAATGTCACATCTTTTAATTTCAGTCTACACATACACATATAGACACAGCTGCCTTAGCAGTGGAGGATATGGAACACTAGCATTCCTGCTACTAAACTAAGGCAATAAAAGTTATAGTTTTGCCAGCCATATCTTATCATCATTACACAGTCCCTGCAATCATCCACTAGTCCCCTTAGTCTTAACCACTAAACCTGCCAGGGTCATGGGGGATGGAAGCTATAACACTTGGTGAGAGGCAGGGTATACTGTGATCAGGTCAACAGTCCAGCACAGGGCTAATACAGAGAGACAGAGAACCATGCACACTAATTTAGAATTACCAGTTAAGTTAACATGCATGAAACCACAGAAACTACAAACTACACACAGATTCCCCAACTGAGCAGTTAAGCAAATTCATAACCAATAACGCTCTGGAAAATACTGACAGCGCATGGACGGACAGCCCAACAGATGCCAGACAAATCATGTACAAAGCAAGAAATATCCACAAATCTATCACACTGTAATATATTCACATGCACGCCGCTCCAAGTGAGCGGCTGCAGCACAACGGCTTGCCTTTCTCTTTCGTGCTGTGTGCATGCAGAAAGAGTAAAAGTTTCAGACGAACACTCTGAAACTTTCTTGCAATTCCCTACGGCTTTTTGATTCATCCAAATTGTTAGCACTTTGTTGCAGTTAGTAGATTTTGAAGATGCCCTCATGAGGACTGACTCTCAGATTTAAGACTGTTCAGGAAGGTTCACTTATCCAAATCATGTTTGAATTTGTTCGTTGGCTATTTCATTTACAGAAATCTTTTTTTAAGATGTCATATGGGCTACACAATATATTTCTATACTGAAATATCCATTTTTCCCCTAATAATCATTCCCTATCCTTATCGACTTGTCTACATAGGTTTCAGATGCATTCTTGGTTTATGAAACATCCTAAATCTAACTAAATTAGACTAGTGCAGGTGATGGTTTCTTGACTTAGGCAACAAAGGTAAATTTTAAAATGTACCTTTATTGCTATAATTGGTCATTATTATGGTTTGATACACTGAATAAGCAACATTAGAAAACATCTATATATAGCAATCTATTACTGAAACTCACACACACTGATTGATATATTCTCAGTGCCATCAGCTGAGACTAAAATAAGTCTTTGATTATTCAACTATCAAAACATAACCAATGCCAGATGTGAGACAACAGCTTCAAAGTTTGCTTCTTTATGAGAGACACATGAGAGAAAGAAAGCCTTTGACATTTTATTTGCTTTACACTTTATAGAATATTTTATTACCATAGTAACCTATGCTCCAACTTTAATGTATGTATCTTGTACATTTGTATATCATGAGCCTATTAGTTGTAAAAAGTGGCTGTAGAACAGCAACCTTATATGTATGTGTGTGTGTGTGTGTGTGTGTGTGTGTGTGTGTGCCTGTGTAGTGAAGGGAGTGACCCACACACACTGACACAACCTCTGATGTGGTCTTAAGGCTTTGGCAACTTTCTGCCAAATACCAAGCCAATAAAGCATGTTCAAATTAATTAAAAGGGATTTTACTCACGGGTTGTACATTGTTTTCAGCGTTATTTAAACTATTCTTTAAACTCAGTTTTGTTTTATTGGAGCCACAGTTATTCTTCCCAGTATTTGACTGATGACATGTTTATTGATCGTCTCTGGAAAAGTACGTTTATTTTCTGGTTTTGCAATAAAGTAAAGTGTTGGAGGAGAGTGGACGGAGAGGGGCTGTTTACAATAAAAGACAATGAACGCGGCTGGCAGCTGTAGAAGCGCTCTAGTTACAACACCAACAACAATAACAACAAATTCAGAATAAAAATACTAAACGTTCATGCCAAGTAAGCGGACTGAAAGGAGCTTCTCCACTTGGCTTCCCTGTGTTTCCCGTGTGGTCCGCTCAAAGGGTTAAAGCCCAAAGTGAACTGAATTGTAAGAAGTTGGTTTCCAAGGGAAACTGTTCGCACCGTTCCAGCTGAGGCGGGACAAACCAACTGTGTGACACGGAGGGGGTAGGGGTGGGTCGATAAAATAGCGAATTAATTTCAAGCTACATCTGCTATTAAATCATTGTAAGAACGTTTCGGTGTAACGACGTGCTATTAAAACGCCCGTAGTAACGGTGGTTGTCGTTAAATACATTTTAAAGAGACGAGGGTGATATTATTACTTCCCTCCACCCCTTCGGTACAGCTAGAGTGCTGGGGTCCCTGCCAAGTCGGTTTGAAAAGAGCAGACAAAGGCTTTGAGCCCAGGACGCCCCTCTCTCTCTCTCTCTCGCTCTGCCTATAAAGCCGCTCCAACTCTATCTTTTTTGCTTTTCTACCATGGGGTCGCTTCTTAATACGTGTCGGTAAGCGAGTTGGTTTTGTTTTTACTTTCTTAATCTGAAATGTATGACCGTCTGGATCCTCGCACGGCGGAGAGAGGAAGGCTTTTTGTAGGTATAATACAAGGAAGCGTCGTCTGAGAGAGGGAGCGAGAGGGGGAAGGATTGACGCTTTTCCTCCTCTCCTCCTCCTTCTTCCTTTCGCCCCCTCTCCTCCTCTTTTTGGCGGAGAGAGGGGTTGAGGCAGGAATAAACGCTCTTTTTTGTTGTTTTTTCCCCCTTTTTTCTTTTTTAATACATTTGAATCCTACTGCGCAACCAGACCGGATCACGTGGCACTGGAGGGAGTTTGATCGATTTTGCACAGTTCAGTGTGAGAAAAAGAGAGAAACACACAACTCCAATTTCTTCTTCTTTTTTTACTTCTGTGGATAGCTGGGACTGTTGATACTTTTGCATTTTGTGCGAGAGGAGGGTGTGATTGAGTTAAGTCTTCTGTTTTTCTTTTAAGCCTTGGAGGTGTGGAGTATTAATTTTTATATGCCTGGGTTTTGAAAAACAATGGAGACGCACATTTCGTGCCTCTTCCCAGAAATTTTGGCAATGATTTTCAGTTATCTGGACGTGAGGGACAAAGGCAGGGTAGCCCAAGTGTGCATCGCTTGGAGGGACGCATCCTACCACAAGTCAGTGTGGAGGGGGGTGGAAGCCAAGCTGCACCTCCGCAGGGCGAATCCCTCCTTATTCCCCAGCCTCCAGGCCAGGGGCATCCGGAGGGTCCAGATCCTGTCTCTGCGCCGCAGCCTGAGCTATGTCATCCAGGGAATGCCAAACATCGAGTCCCTCAATCTGTCCGGCTGCTACAACCTCACGGATAACGGGCTGGGCCATGCGTTCGTGCAGGAGATCCCATCACTTCGGGTTTTGAACCTAAGTCTGTGCAAGCAGATAACAGACTCTAGTCTAGGGAGGATTGCTCAGTATCTGAAGAACCTGGAGGTGCTGGAGCTTGGTGGCTGCAGCAACATTACCAACACTGGGCTTCTGTTGATAGCCTGGGGCCTCCACAGACTCAAGAGCCTCAATCTGAGGTCCTGCAGACATGTCTCAGATGTGGGGATTGGACATTTGGCGGGCATGACCCGTAGTGCAGCAGAGGGCTGCTTGAACTTGGAGTACCTGACCCTCCAAGACTGTCAGAAACTGACAGACCTGTCACTCAAACACATTTCCAAGGGGCTGACCAAGCTCCGGGTACTGAACCTGAGCTTCTGTGGGGGGATCTCAGACGCAGGGATGATCCACCTCTCACATATGACTTCCCTGTGGAGCCTCAACCTACGCTCCTGTGACAACATAAGCGACACGGGGACAATGCACCTTGCTATGGGCACCCTAAGACTCTCTGGGCTTGATGTTTCGTTCTGTGACAAGATAGGAGACCAGACTCTGGCGTACATCGCTCAGGGGTTGTACCAGCTCAAGTCCCTGTCTCTGTGCTCGTGTCACATCTCCGACGACGGGATAAACCGGATGGTGAGGCAGATGCACGAGCTGAGGACCCTTAACATTGGACAGTGTGTGCGCATCACGGACAAAGGGCTGGAGCTCATAGCGGACCACCTCACCCAGCTGGTGGGCATCGACCTGTATGGATGTACCAAGATCACCAAGAGGGGACTGGAGAGGATCACACAGCTCCCCTGCCTTAAAGTGTTGAACCTGGGACTCTGGCAGATGACAGAGAGTGAGAAAGTGAGGTGATTGGAAATGCTTGGTTTTTTGTTTTTGTTTTGGGAGTGTGTGTTATTTTTCTTTTTTGGATGGAGACAGAGTGGGAAAAGGGAGGGATGTGTGGGCAGAGGAGTTTCTTTTCTTATTTAAAAAGAGAGAAATCCTTCCTTTTTTCCCCCCTTCTGTGTAAAGTGTGCTTCTCCCATGTGACCAGGATGTATGCTCAAAATGTTTTATTTTTCTTTCTGTTGGCCTTGCAGGACTGAAATCAGTGTTTGACTCCAATATTCAGCCTGGCAGAAAGCAATTCAAAACTTCTGTCATGAGCTCACGAAAATCCGTGTTAAACGCAATGTTTTGGTCTCAAATCGAGTTTTAAGACCTCACAAAAACTGGACTTGGGACTAGAATAACTTCAGCTTGTTTGCCAGATTTTGTTTCCAATCAGGTGTCGTTTTCCCTAATGGAAGAATCGGCTTCTCTTCCTGACACTTGCTTCCAGAAAATTCTGGATGCGAAAACTTGCATCCATCCTTAAAAGTCAAAAACAGAGGTTTTAAAACTTTACTGTGGGACTTTTATTTTTGCAGTGAGTCTGAGGCATTTACGACTAATCTCCGCTACAGCCATCACGCCTAAAAAAAAAAACCAACAAAAAAAACCCAACACAGACACACAAAAAACATTTGGCTACCTCGTATGTGGTTATTTTCAAAGGGTGTATACTGTTAAGAAGGAAAGAGAGACTGGGAGAAAATGTGCCTAAAGGGACTTGTGTCTGCCCCCTCCCCCATCCCTCCATCGCCTCTCTCTACCCTCCCTCCCTCTTCCCTGAGCAGAGCTAGAGAAAGGAGACCAGGACACAATCTAACTACCTTTGTTAATTTACCCCCATAAACAAGAGCAATTTCCCAGAGAGAGCCACGAGAGGGGGAAAGGGGAAGGCGGGCTGTCAGATCCAGTCAGAGAGTGAGAGGACGTTGCTTTATGCAAAATACATTAAAAACCTGCTTGAGTGCAAGAGCTTTTTATATTGTTAAAATTTTCCTATTTTTTTTTTTTTTTTAAAGGGATAAAGTCCAACTTTACACCCTTTTAGAGATGCATTGCATTCAAGCTTTGATCAATATAAAGGAGATGCGATTGCAAGCCTATACCTGTAGTGATTCTATAACGATAGATGCATGTTAAAGGTATGATCAGACCGTCATTAAAAACCCAGTGTATGTCCTTACAGGATTATTAGGCTGTAGGTATTTTTGTTGTGAAAGGGATGCTGGTGGAGATAAATGTCAAGTGAATGTTGCTCAGAGCGTCGTACTTCAAATTGAAGTGATTTCTATATCTTAGCCTTTATTCGTGGAAACAAATCAGGGTTCGTGGCTTTTCTTTTCCCACGTTTATACCGACACATTCATATTCACGTTGCTCTCACCGGTATATAGAGAGAGGAGGAGGAGTTTTTTTTATTTTTTTTATACCCTCTTCTTTTTCCTACCATCTCTCACCCTTCTCCCCCTGAATAAAAATACCCCAAATCCATTTTGAGACATGCTTAGAATAAGGAGTAATCGATTATTTTTCTTTCTCTCCCTTCCCATCTCTGGTTACAAGCAGACTGCGTCTCTCTCACTCACTCACTCACTCACTCACCCTCTCTCCACCTCGCTATTCCCCATCTCACTCTCTCTCTCTCTCACACACACACGCATTTAGGCTGTACACACATGCACACGCGCGCACGCACACCGCCGCCAGTGTGTGCGCGTTTTAATGTAATGCAATGACCTGCTAGAAAATTAATCTACGGATGTGCGTCCTGCTGAAAAAGCTGTGTGTGAGTGAGTGTGCGTGCGTGTGTTTGACAATAAAAAGATGTACTGTATATTATGTGTTTGTAAAGAGAGAAAAAATGCAGAATCCCAAAATTAAATTGTTTTATATTCTTACGGTTAAAACAATTAAAGATATTTATATAATGAACGAACGAGAGCGGTGTGGATTACTTTTGTGTAGGTGTAGCGCTCCATTGTTTTCTGTTTTGTTTTTTTTGGAGGGGGAATATAAAAAAATACCCACAAGGTATTTTAATCTTGTTTTCCATAAAGACAATCACAACTGCTCTGCTCTTGTCCTACAAAGATATATTCCATATTCAGGCGCATTTAAGACAATAAGGTCTCTTATTTTCATACATTACTCCCAATAATCGCCCACGCATCTCTGAGCATTGTCCCTCATCAGTTCTGTCTTGCTTCTCAAAAGGGCTGAAAAAATTTCTCTTGTGTTGTTTTATTATTTATGAGCAGATTCAAAATGGATGCTTGCCGTCTTGATTTGGCTGCCAGGGCCTGTGTAATTAATTATCACCAAGGCGTTTATTGCAGGAAACTGTTCTACCCTGCTGATTTTTTCTAATCATAAACGTCTGTTTTGTTTTCTTTTTTGTCCTCTACAACGCTACCAAAAGGTGTTTAGCTTAACTGAGTTCCAGATGCAACTCTCAGGGTTTGTTGTTTTTTTTTTGGGGGGGGGGGGGGTGTATTTGGTGGATTTCCTGGTTTAAATGAAGGGTTTGGGGCATTTAGTCTGGATCCTTTTCGCAGTGTTTTACTTCACATGTGGCAGAGCTGCGTCTGTGCAGCTGCATGTGCGGCGTAATGAGATCTAAAAGTTGGTTAGAGCAGATCTCCCTCTTCTCTGCTTTCCATCAGGACGTGTCCTGTGTGTGAAGTGACACCACACACACACGCACACATAGGGGGTTGCCAGGCCAGTCAGTAGCCATTGTCTCCCTTTAGAAGTTAGAAAGGCAGGGTTGGGTGCTTTTTTTTTTCTTCTCTTCCTCTCTTTCTCCTCCTCTTGTTCAGTCACGCATACCAGATCCTAGACCAGGCAAGAGACCCCTCTCCCCCTTACTTTGCCCCCCCCACTTACCACCATGCACACACGCACACACACACAGACTGCTTTTTAGCATTCCACACCATCATTCAAAGCATTTAAGCATTCCCTCTCCCCTGACTCTCTGTCCATGGGGATTTGGGGATAAAGGCCAGCAGAGGGATTGTTGACCACAGGGACAGAGAAAGACAGAAAGAGAGACACACACACACACTCACAGAATGCCAGTGTTTGCTGTTTCTTAAGTTTGCTTTAGCTGGCCTTTGGTCTTGTGCAATAACGCTGCAACCAGTGCACACTGAGATGTGGAAAAAAGAAAGAAAAAAGAGAGACACAGTCTGTGACATTTTGAGCAGCTTTGTCCCAGAAGCATCTCAAACCTGTTTGTCAGCCACAGAATGCTATGAGCTACTGTTGCTGATGTAATTTGACCCTGCATTAGTGTTGCTTTAAATCTACCAGAAAATGTGTGTTTATGTGCTAAATGCCTGAGTTAGATTAGGAGTTCCTACATGCTGCAGCAAGGCGACATGAAGCCATAGGAGTAAAGTAAAAGAGGTGTGACACTGAGATAAAATGTAGCTTGGATGCTGTTTAATGAATAGAAGTGGGAGACGTACAACGCAACTAATTGTTTCTTTATCATTTGACATTTGTGCATGCAGACCTTTACCGAGCAGATACGGAAGAGAAGGTCATATCGTGGGTTTCTACAGAAAGGTCGGCAGGCTGAAGTGTAGACTGACGAAGATGCAATCAGCTACATTCAAATGATAATGCAATACTTTAGTAATCCCTACAGGGAAAATCCCTTTTTGTCCACTACACTCCATAGGGAGGTCAAAGGTCAGACTCTGCTCCTGAGCCCCCCGCTGCTGGGTGCTACTGGGGGACACACGAACACAGTGAAGAGCTCTCATGTTTTAACATTATATCTGCTTGCTCCTCACTGTTTTGCTGTAAGTCGCTGGAGGTTGTCCGGAAGAACTAAGAGGCATCGGCCCTTCCTACTTTAAAATATTGAAGGTTTTCTTCTCAATTAAAAACAAAATCTCATCAATAATTTAGGAGAATACAAACATGAATGTTATTGTACAGAATGACTCAATTTGCATTTTGAACAAATAGAGAGAGAGCTGAGTGAGTTTAATGCTGGGTGTTCAGCATTATGTGCTTAGAAGGCATGATATATCACTCTGTGCATAGACTGCAAGTACAAAAAACAGGTTATACAGTAAAGTAACTTGCATGAAGATATCGTGATTTGTGTAAAAACTAAACACGTGAGCTCATTTGCACTGAATGTTCTGAGTGCACACTCTCCTTTAGGACAGTTGCACTTCTCTTTGGTAATAACTGTACAAATGCACAGCAGGAAAAGCCGTCCCTCTTCCTGCAGTTTTGGTTCGTTTTTTGCACATGACACGTGCATCATTTATAATCCATCTTAAAAAGCAGTGAACAGTTTGGCTCCTGCCTGATCCTATACTATAGGACATATAGGGTCACAAGAATGTTAGCTTTTGGGAGAAGAAGCTTGTCTGCTTCAGTTAAAGTCAATTAAAACTGCATGCTAGCTTACAAATTAAAATAGTTGTAATTTCCACATCCAATCCAAGGTCCTATCTTCTATGGTTGCTTAATGATATAATCTCTCTTTAGCCAGCAAAACCAAATGTCCAGACATGATTGATCCACATGGCTAACAAAGAGGAATTTACAGCTTCAGAATAACATTGAGAGCCACTGCTATGCTTTTAAGCTCTACTTATCCTTGTTGATGAATATCACAAAAGGCTGATCACCTGACTACCACCACTCTCCTCAGGTTTTCACTTTGTCGTGGATCCTAAAGGTTCAGCATTGCGCTCGGGCAAAGCAGCGTGTGCACTGTAGGAAGCTCGGATGAAAAGGACTTCATGTAAAGAACATGTTGTAGCTTCCTCTCAGTGAGATTGTCTCTTCCCCCTCACAGATCCTGCCTGCCTGCCTGCCTGCATGACTGACAGCTCCCAAACAAAGTTACTTCAAAAACTTACAGGCACTTAAATCAGACAAAACCAACATTTCTGCTGCATATAGGTCACTGAGAAAAACTTTTCATACTATTCATAGTGCTGTTTTTGCTTTTGAAATCTGTTGTGTGTGTGTGTGTGTGTGTGTGTGTTTGGCCTGCAAGTTGTAAAAGTTGAACTGTGACTTGTCACGTTGCGCTCTGAACCACATTTCCTGTCAGGTGGAGAGGAACGGTGTTATGTATGTGTGCGAGAGTGTTTTACTGCTATCATTAAAGGAATAGTTCGCCATTAAAAGGCGAACTGGGGTTTTTCACAACAAAGCAGCAGGGATATTAGCAGCGGAGTGCTACTGCCCTCCCCCACATGCCTTTGGCTGCAACAGCTTCTGTCTCTCCCGTCTGCTGTGTTGTCTGTCTGTCTTTCTGGCCTGTTTTTAGATCTCTGCCTGTCTGCTGGTCAGCTTTCATCCTCGCCTTTTTTTCTTATTCTTCTTGTCAACTTATTTTGAAGCCTTATTTCCTTCCTGTCTTCTCACCTCTCTACTTCCCATTCTTATCTTACCTTTGTCATTCTCTTTTCACCACCAACTTTATTTCTCTTTTTCCTTTAGTGCTCCTTTCTTATCTTTCTCATTCTTCAGCCCCCCCCTTACAATTCTCATTTCTTTCCCCACTATCCCTGCCTCCTTCCTCCTCTTTGTGGCACCTGGTGTTGAGGTGTTGCTGAGGTACAGTGGACTGCTCTACCGTCTGCTGTAGAGCTGTCCCCGGGGCCCTCGGGGGCTCAGTGTGTCTATGTGCTTCAGGAAACGTTTTTTTTAAACCAGCAGCTCCAGTCAAGAACATGTACTGCTGCTTCTGATTTAGGCATCCATGCACATACTGTACACACTTTTCAGAACCAGTGTTGGTCAAAAATAGCATTAAAAGAGCAGAGGGGGGATGGTGTGGTTTTACTGTAACTTACTGGTTTTAAAGCTGGCATAGTCAGGGAAGAGGCAGAGAAGCGGAAGAAAAAGCACCTCTGTCCGACAGTCTGCTGTAGTCAGCACCCAACCTGTAGATAGGAACAGCAGCAAGGCAGTAAAGCAGAGAGAGGAAGATAGAAAAGTAGAGAAGTGGTAAAAATTGAGGAGGGGAACGGGGAAAGAAACAGATGAGAAAAAGTTGAGGTTGGTGAGAAAGAGAATGAGAGGGAGAGAGGAATCTGTGAGTCACTGTTTAACTGTGGGCTGCAAGAAGTCTGCTAGCCATGTTAAAATACCGTCTGTGCGCACACAAACACACACGCTCCAACAATATCTGGCTCAACACACACGTGTGCACACACATATTAAAATGACCTATGTAAAAGAATAAAATAAAAAAACAGTTGTGCTTTTTTTGCCCAGTAGACCAGCTAATTATCTTCAGTTGCACACGAGGCACACACACACACCTCTGCTGCACATTCCTATCAAAGGAATGAGCTGCTTTTCTACAAAGGTAAGACGTTAGGGATAAGTCAAAAGAGTTTTTTCCCACTTCTGAAAATCGAACTTTTACAGGAAAAGAAGGAACACTGACATTATCCAACCTGTAACTGATGAATTAGTGAAAAACCTTCCTAACAAATGAATTTGATTATTTTTGCCTGCTAGACAGAGGCGAGTCTGTGGTTCTAACTGCTCTAAAGACACACATCTAACATTTTCATGTCTTCATCTTAGTTTTTACTTTTTTTTTTTAATTTGGTTTTCGACTGCAGCAAATGTCTGCTTTTATTACGAGCCAATCAGCTGATTAAGGTATAATTTCCTAGAGGTGCTAAAGGTAAAATAGTGGGATCACCAGACAGGATCCCATTATTCCTTTGAGGAAAACAAACAAACTGGAGAAACTCACTGATAAAAATCTTAGTATTTATTATTAGGCAAAACTTATTAAGTTTTATTAAGAAGAATACTTTTCAGGGACAAGAGGTAGAATCTAAATCTGAACATTTCACCTCAAATTATCACAATATGCACGGAGGTCAGGAGAAAGGTACAACAGTGAGTGCAGCGATGTCGTCAGAATTGACAGAATTATGGATGCAGAAAAAACATCAAATTTTGATGTTCCAATACCATCTGGATTGATAACAGCTTCATCTTTCAGAAAGCAATGATCCCAAATGTGTGAAAAAAAGAAAATAATTAGTAATCAATTGTCCTCCCGTAGCTGGACCTCAACATTACTGAAGCAGTGTGGGATCATCTTGAGACACAACAAAACAGAAGGCAGCCAACATCCAAAGAAGAGCTTTGAATGTCCTTTGAGAATCCTGAAGAATTATTCCTGAAGACTATTTAACGAAAGGTCAAAGTTTGTCTAAGAGGGTTTAGGGTGTGTTGGAGAATAAAGGTGGTCAAACAATCGCAAACATTGACCTTCAAGCTCATTAGGGTTGTACAAACTCTGTTTTCGCCTTCTATATTGTACTTCTGGGTATGTTCACGCATGCTTCAATAAATCTGTGCACTTACTTTCCAAATTTTCTTGCAAAATATAAAGAAATGAAATGTAACTCAAAACTTTTGCACAGTACTGTAACACACTGCTACTTTGTAGTGAATCCTCTTGGGACAATAAGTGCTTCCACTGTTTTATGCCACTGCACACTTGTTGCATTTGAGATATTTCACTGTGCACAAATTGGGTGACTAAACAAAAGAGCTACATTGCCATATTCTGGTAGTGTGGCGTAAAGAATCAGTTCAAGTTATGCAAGCACTCAGTGACACCCAAGATGGCGTGTTATTGGCTCCCCAGCTGTCAAAACCCGGACATATTCAACATATGATTAAAATAAAAGAGGACTTTTTGCATATTTGATAATCATTTCACAGTGACTAAAGCAATAAATCACTCTTCAATCTTAGATCCTCTGGGTGTTCAACTTTTTATTAATCTCCCACATGCTGTTATCAGGTCATATACCGCTGTGGGCTCTTTGAATTTTCAGTCCGTCATCACCATTATGGCTATATAGTATAGAGTTTTTATAAAGATATTTAAGCAAGAGCTATGTTAAGAAAATGATCAGCGTCGTTACATTTGCCAGACAAGCCATTCTGTGCTGTTTTCCGACAGATTGGATAAGGAAAACAACACACTAAATCTTTCATTTTAAACATAAGATGTTGCTTTATTCAAAATCAAAACATGGACGTCGTCGCTGAATGTTTTATGAAAGCCTTGGCAATTACAATCGGAAGACTGAGAATTATGCAGCATGTGATGCTGACTTCTGCTCCCTATTTCTGCTCCACACGGAGAACGGCAGGAAGGAGGCGAAGGACAGAGAGAGGAAGAGAAAGAGGGAGAGAGCGAGAGAGAGCCTTTCTTTGTCTTGATGTGAAACCACGTGAAGCTCTGACAGAAATGTGACAGATACCTGCAAAGTCAAAAACCAACAGGCTCGCACTCATTCTAATTTGTCAGGTGAGACAGTGTGTTGGGAGCGTGGGTGGTGTGGTGTGCTTGTGTGTGCTTGTCTTCCCGCATACGTATGATTGAAGGCCCGCGTGCATAATGCATGTGCGTAGACACTCGCTTTGTGTGTGTGTTCCTCTCTGCCAGCTCTCCGTACCTTCCTGTCAGTTGAACTTGTCATTCAAGCATCAATAAAGTGAAAACTTTTTCTCTTTATTTTGTTAAAAAAATTTGTCATGCTTTTCTCAAACGCGGGAAGCGGGCAGAAAGGGAGACAGAGAACTGCAGCAGCAGTCGATGGGGTTGAACACGTGTTTGACAGGGAGCACTGCGCAATGGAGCAGATTTCCCTCCATTAAAATGACTTTTCAGAGATGTTTTTTGGGGGGTGGGAGTCTTTAGAGGGCAACAGAGGGCAGGAGGAAGATGCTGAAAGTGATGCCATCACAGATACCTGCGTTACTGCAGACAGTGAAACATGTATTTAACAATGTAGAAACGGCATGGCAGAAAATGGTGAGCTTTAACCTTAAAATGCATATATTAGACACTTTAAATGTCCCTAAAAGTTATGCGTTATGTTTTAAAAGCCAGTTCTAACTGCAGAGGTGCAATAGCTATGAAAAAGAAAGAGAGAAAAAAAAAAGATTCAGGCAAGTTTCTTGGAGTATGGGCAGTTTTTCACCAAAGAGCGCAAACATGTTGAGATCCAAAAATCTATATTGATGCAATAGCTACGAAAATTCAAGGCTGAAAAATAAAAACACAACAAATCTCCTCAGACTTTAACATCAGAGGTGTGGAGACCAGCTTTCTTTGGCATTAGTGGTCTTGATAAAAACCTACAACTCCAGTCAGAGGTGACTGGTATTAGAATAGTAATCACGAGCTTTCCTTCTATAAAGGAAGTTTAAAAAAATACAAAATACATGCAGTAGCCCTTTAATGCAGCACACTGTGATATGGGCTGGACTCAGGTGTATGCATGGACTGTTAATGCTCTTGTGAAAGTGAAGTCAGCAATGTTGGGATTGACTAGCTCTCACTGAGAAGGGAATTAAGCGTATTTGTTTTAAGAGGTGCTGGCTCACCTACACTGAAGGTTTCTAAAGGGCAAGGTTAGGACGCTCTAAAACCCTTTACACAAACTGGTTCCACTATATGATTAGGCACACACACATACACACACAAGTCACATCTTCGGAAGATCAATACATCAAACCTTGTTCGCTGAGCGATAGAAAAACAGCTGCATCAAATATACAGAATCCACTAAATAAAGAATGCAAGCTATGTGCAAAAGTCCTGTCAAAAAGAAGCCCGTCTAGCAGCGGTCTCAGAGGATGAGCAGCAGTCTCTAAACCGCTTTTCTGAAGAGGACACAAGACAAATGCTTGGGGTGGGCTCAGACCAGCATTTCACAGCAACTGACTTGGGGAAAGAAACAGTGCGACTGACTGATAAATCCATGTTTATTTCGGGAATAAAGCCAGTAACAGATGGGTTAGGAGAGATAATAATACAGCAGTTTATTGAACCCAGACTGAATGCTAAAATCTGGGTATGTTTTGCTACTCTGGAGCTGAACACCCACAGTGACCGGACTGTGCTCCCACTCCCCACCTTCACAGCAATCGTGTTTGCATCTTTGGGAGCATGATGCACACTAAGAAAAGCAATTCCAAACTCTTCAAGCTTTGCAAGAACTCTGTGACACTGTTGTTCCTCCAAAGCCATCACAGCCTTATAACACATTTATAGGTGCACGTGAAGACTAAGGTAAGCCAAGCCTTCAGGAAGCTCTTACCATGGGTTATCTGGTTGTGCACAGAGGGGAAAGCTCAAGTGAATGCTGTTGTTAAACAAAAAGGCGGGGATAGTGAATAGTAAGATACAGAAAAAGACCAGGATGATCAAAAGCAAAAGGGACCCTGAAGTGATCCAATCACAAGGGAATTCTTAAAAATTAGCCTGCGAAGGTGTAAACTGGTTCAGAGTACTGGTCTATCCCTGTTCATTTCAATTAACCCTGGAAGTGGACATTTAAACCATAAGAAAATCTCCATCAAACTGTTATTTAATATTCAGTATATAAAGGCATTATTGAGACAGAGGAGTGCTCTTATCTCCCTGTAAATGAATTATAGTTTCCCAATTTGCATGCTGAGCGAATTTAACTCAAAGTGCCTCAGACTCACCAGAGTGAGTCCACCAGAGCTGTAATGTCCCTGCTGATAAGCAGCCTGTCAACTGAGGATTTGGTAAACGCTTGATTCACACTTTATAAGAAATATGGGGGTTTTGATTGGTTTCTATGTGTAGGTGTGCGTGTGTGGATCTGTAAGAAGTCCTATGGGAAGAAAAGAGATTCACACTGGAAATCTTTCCGACTGTTTGCACTTGTCCAGCCTTATTGCTAGACCTTTGGGTTTTTTGTGTGGGAAAAAAAAAGAAAAGCTGTAAGGCTTTAAATATTACAAAATGCTATTTAAATAATTTATGTCCTTGGAATGTTTTATTTTGAAAAACAGCTGAACGAACGTCACTCTTTTCCAAGTTTTTCAAGACATCCATTTTTTAATAGTTCTGACAATACGTTTGAGTAATGTCTATTTAAATGGAATATATTTCTATTTGCATAATAATAATATTTATATTAGTTTTTCTTTGGTGGTTAGCACCATCGCCTCACAGGGTTTGACTCCATGAACTAGCTGGGGCGTTTCTGTTCGGAGTTTGCGTGCATGCACCCACAGTCCAAAGACATGCATGCAATATTAGGTTAATTGGTGATTCTAAATTGGCCGTAGGCGTGAATGTGAGCACGAATGGTTGCCATAGATTGGCAACCTCTCCAGGATATACCCCTCCTCTTGCCATATGACAGCTGGTATAGTCTCAAATTGTGACCCTGAGTTGGCTAAGCAGAAGAAGATGGATAGTTTCTCTTATTTCTTTTTTCAGAAAAGTACCACATGTGGTCAGTGTTGAGAATTTAAATCAATACTGGTACCATAGATACCAAAATTCAAGACCAGGCTGGACAAAACCTAAAACCCGTCTGTAAGGAAGAGGACTCCCTTACTGCATTTATATTATATTATATGTATAGCACTTTAGAGCACACCTTTCACTTTATTAAAAGCACCTTATCAAGCAATTTATGAGCATTGCACTTTAAGCATGGATTTGCACACAAGAAGTTTAAATATTTATTGACTATTTATTGGGAATTTTAAAATCAGTTGGTAGCCTTGTTTCAGATCCTGCACAGCTGCTCCTCATCAAGGAATGTGGTGGTTGTCTGTCAGGAGAGAAGAATGGTGATTGAGATTGTGATTAAGGTTTACCAATAAGGAAAACTAATGCAAATGTGTGTGTGAAATCTAGGGATAAAAGTGGTGCAAATAAGTGTTTGTAAGTTAATGATTACTCACCTTTCTTGCCTGTGTCCTCTTCAAGGTGTTTGGGCAAATGTTTCCCTGGGGGTCCAGACACCATTTAAAGGTTCCGGGAGAGTCCATTGGTAAAGAGAGTGTGGTGAATCTTGTTGTGCTTGGGTTTCTGGGTTTTTATAATATTGGGTTTGGTGTAACATTAAGTGTGAAATATTTATTAATATGTAAATGTGAAATGTATTTATGTATTTATTTATTCTTATTGATATATTGTATACTGTGGTGGAAGGTAGGGATTTAAGAATTTACCTGAGAGTGGAATAATGGTTTAGTCTGTGACAGCTGAACATATTTAAGGCTGCCAGTTGTCATTAGAGGATGGATTTTTGTGCTGTGAAGAAGCTCGACAAGTTGATGGTTTTAAGGAGAGCCATATAGCAAATAAATACTTTGTTCCACTACACTTGCTTTGGTCTGTCTCACTGTGTTTCCAGCCACTAAGGGCTGCCCTGTTACACCGTCAGAGGAAATGAATATTCTGACACTCTGACAAAGGGTGTAATTCTTCCCCAAATAATAGCAATTTATTACAAACATTTTGATCAGAATAATTGCAGCTCGTTGCAATAAAGCATGGATTGAGATGCATGGCAGCAGGTGAGTGATGGCAGATTTATAATATATATCTTTTGAAATATCAGTTGAAACATATGAATTGATATGGTTCAACTGATATGATCAAACTTAAAGAAACCCGCCTTACCAGGTTTGTTACCGGACAAAGAGTAAATTAGGCAGCGACATACAGGTGTATACATGATTAGAGCTCGAACTACGCGAAAGAGAAAATAGATATTCTAAAAAGAGACTAATGTAAGAGTGAGAAAGAGATATGGGAAGGGGAGCGAGAAGATAAATAGAGAAACTGAGCGTGGAATACAAAGAGGAGACTGTGCGTGCATGTGTGAGTGCACCAGGTGCGTATCTGCAGTCCCCAAGGTCCTTCTAGCTGTCTTCTCCTATTGATTAGTTCATATTGATCCGGCCTGACACACACACACACACACACACACACACACACACACACACACACACACACACACACAGAGCATGATTCACTTGATTTAGCCAGGCTTTGACACAGGGGACATGAGGGTACATTGTTAATACACACACACACACACACACACACACACACACACACACACACACACACACACACACACACACACACACACACACACAAAAACCCCGAATCCTTCCATCGTTTGGCCCTCTTAAAAGGACAACCATCTTCTCTCTCTGACACACACACACACGCACACACACACGAGCGCACGTGCGTGTGCGTGCTTGACAAGCAGCAAACATTCACTCTCCCTGTTTACTCATGTGCATTGGTTGTCTGGCAAACAGGAAGGAGAAACAATGAGACTGTATGAGGCAAACTGTTGATAAATCTTTTTGCCTGTTTTTATTCCCTCAAAATTGTTGGACTCTTCTTCAAACACCATATGTAGCACTGTATGTTTTGTATGTTGCAGATATGCAATAGTAGCTTAGATCATATCACAGCTAACCCTAACTGTAAAGCTACTGTAATCAATATTTTTAACAAAAAATGTGATTAATTATATTTGTGGCCTCTTTTTTGACAGCAGTGTTTAATTATATTTTAAGGCTTTCATTTATGTATTTTTTAGGCGTGTGAGCATAGGAGTGCCATTTCATCTTATTTAGCATTAAGTATTAATGACCTTATAAGGGCTTGCTTTGCAGTTTAACTGATAAGTACAGTACAAAAGTCACCCTTTATGTCTTTATATTTTGATTCCATGGAGCCAGACTTTCTTTTCATTTTTAAGGTGGTATTGAAGAATAGTTCTCCAGGCATTCTGAAAATCTTTCAAAGTGTATTCACTCATTTTCGGTCTAGTCCTTGTACCTGACTATATTCAGAGGAATGATTTTGATTGTTAAGCTACTTAACACAGTTCTGTGAATAAGTTTGAAACCATTTGACAAGCATAAAATAGTATTTTTGCACCAACATGGCACATCTCAGCATGGTGTGGCGTGTGTCCTTAAAATTTGAGCAAGGCGAACAAATGGAGGACAAAAGAAAAAGTGGCAGGCCTGAAAAACTATCCACAGTAGATTAACAGTATCATATGAAAGTTATGTAGGAAATAAAATCCAGCATTGACCTGACACATAACCTGAGGTCTTGCCCTTCAGTTGATCCATCCACTGTTCAGTGAAGCCTCATTAGAAATGACAGAACTATGAATGCAAAAAGGTACTGTCGACTTTTGAACCACCATCTGGAAAGCATCTGATTGGCTACAGCTGGCAACTCCCTGGCAAAATAAAAACGCACAGTGAAACACTACCGGTCATGGATTGGCTACTTCAGAGCTTGTACCTCAACATTATTGAAGCAGTGTGGGATCGTCTTAAGAGAGAATAGAACAAAATGCAGCCACAGTAGCTAACATACTTTATACACATTAGTTGCTTATGTCATATCTGCTGTTGTAGCCATCAAAATTAGTCATTGCAGATTTAATGTATTTTTTTTTTCACAATACCCTGATGCTCTGACAAAACAGTTAATCATGATACAAATAAGCAAATGCAAATACAGTCGACTGCGACTGCAATCGTAGCAAAAAGCACAGGTTTGCAACTGTAGGGCCACCGGTGCTTAACAGCGGTTCCCGTTTTCAAACACAAGAAGAAGAAGAAAAAGGCATTCACTTCAAGACAAGGTGCCCTTGAGCAAAACATCTCACCTCCAGCCGCTCCTGAGTCGTTTAGTGGCAGCTGCTGAAGAGTGTTTTTTGTTCAGGCCAGATCCCAGTGTGACTGTGTGGAGGTGTGTGAAGGTGAAGTAGGTCTAGGCTCACAAAGAGTTTATGCTTGCTCTGTCTGCGTCTACGGAGATGGAAGGGAGAGGAAATAATGTCAAAAAGGTGAGAAAATGGTGAAGCAAGAGTCTGCTCATCAACAACCCTCTAATGAGAGGGTTTGGTCTGCTTGCAGGCTTCCTGACACATATCAATATGTATACTCAATATGATACACACCACACACAGACACAGCCCCAGATCTTTTAAAAAAAATGTATTTGTCCTTCATCCAGCCTCTGTGCTACACTTTCCTTTTCCCCCTCTTTGTCTCTGAATCAGAAGAAACGTCACTGTCTGTCTCTGCCTTTAGTCTTTCGTGTGCATGTACGCATACACATACACCGACACACCAGTACAGTACGTGCACAGATACGCAACCACCTGCACCCACAGAGACTAAAACACACACATACACAACCACACACACACGCATAGACTGCCTTCTGCTGCTGTGATGGCTCCGAGCTGTCAAAACACCCTTGCTTTCTCTCCCTCTCTCACCAAAGCAGCTTGACTGAGCTTGTCTATGCAGGTTCACAGAGACTGCTGTCTATCCACCCTCATTCTTTCTTTCCTCACATTCTCCTCTGCAGTTTGCATCTTGATTTTGCTTTCTCGAGCTTTTCAGCCCTTGCCCACATACATTTTAAATAATGCTTTATTGTATGTCCCTGTTTATTGTATTAGGCTATCATTCAAATGTCTCGGTGGAACGTTAAGTGTTCATAAAGGTTTATACTGACTTGTCAAGGTCTTTGCTCACAACACATTCCCGCATTATGTGAAACAGTCACAAAATTGAATCCATTGTTTTGTTTTCCTCCCCCCTTTTCTTGCTTACATGGACACCAACTTTTATCCTCCAGTTTGTATCCATGCGTGTGAAGATTTTTTACACATTATTACTCACAATACAGTTTGAAACCCAGTGAGTTTTGGATTTTATTTGGAAGGGCTTTTACATGTGGGTTGTGCTTTTTCTTGCTGTTCGGTTAGGTGTAGGCACCAGAACTAAGACCAGAGGTTTTGGATACAGTGTCACGTTCTTCAAAGCTGTAATGTGCCCCCCTTAGAGAAGCCTCAAAAACATAGACAATTGTTACACCCCTGGACACAAATCCTTCTTCCCATTGAAATACATTGGGAGGTCGTGTCCACAGTGAGGCAGAAAAACAGACGAGGTGCTGTTTACGTGTGAATGTGTAATTTTTCCAATAATGAAATGGTTAAATGGCATTAGAACTCTTAAATATGGTCTTTTGCGGCCCACCTGTGGTGCAGACACAACCTGGTTATTCTGTTTAGTCTCAGTTTGCACTATGCTGGCTTAAGTTGCTGACATAGTCCATAATGGACACAGATGTTGGCAGCAGGGTTCATGGTGGATGTGCACTGGGTGCTGTTTACACTACACCAGCTGCTTGTCTGCCTATGTGGTTCACCTATGCACAGTCAGCCTCGTTTCATGTAAAGGAGCATCAGCGGTTCCTCTACGTGACATTTATGCCAGTATGATTTAAGTCTGAAAATGCTGCTTAGATGTGGAAACAATGTGCATTCACGTCACTAATTTCCAGCTGAATTTTCAAACCTGTCCACTCCTGGACATCCTGTTTTCCACTCCTGGATTTGTTTCACTAAAAATGTTATCTCTGTATGTATGAAATCCTGCAGCTTCCAAATGCTACCATTTTATTACAATCCTCTGCTTAGCCTGGTAATCAAACGCTGCTTTATGCAGAGGGAAAGTAAACTGACCACACAGGCATTGATATGGGTTGATGAGATGCCTCCCGGCATTCAAAATGAGTTGCTGGTGAGGCAGTTGGTTCCTTTCTGCTCACCTCTAGAGGTGAACAGAAAGGTGCCCTTCTGGGCACATCTTTTTCTTTAGCCTCTCCAAGGATTTGAAAAGTAGTAACAAATTGTGACTCGGAGGCATAATTTGTGAGGAAAAAGGCGTGCTTTTAAATTTAGCCACCTTGTTTTCTGCATTACAGGCATCACATTACATGCTTATTAAAAATTAATGTAGTACTCAAAATATATAAGACATCAAGGTCATAACACACATGTGACCTGTAAAATCTAGTACAGAGCACACAGATGATTTTACTGCACAAAAAAACATGATGTTAACAAGTCATGTGTGCAAGGCAGGTAATTTTTTTCCCCCTGAAATAGTTCTTCCTGGTAAAATATATGCCTGCTCTCTCTCTCCTAGTTTGATTTGCTTCCCTTTTCTTTTCTCAGTCTCTGCTACCACACACACACACACACACACACACACACACACACACACACCACACGCAAGTGCTGTGTGTTTGGCCTGCAGCGTGTGCACAGTGGGGAGGAATCAACCGTATGGCAGGCATGAGGACGAAGCCAAATCTGGCTTGTACACATGGTGTGTGGCCGTGTTGCCCTGTGAGTGTGAGTGTATATGTGTGTGTGTGTGTGTGTGTGTGTGTGTGTGTGTGTGTGTGTGTGTGTTTAGCTAAAGGCAGCCTGCACTTAAATATATATCAGGGGCAGCGGTTGCCTAAAGGTGAAAGCTATGTGGTTTTCACTGGAAGGCTGCCGAACGAACGAATGAAAACCACTCTCCATTCCCTCGCCAGCTACTGTCACTCTGCCCCTGAGCAAGGCACTTAACTGCTGGATAAGAGCAGCAATGTGAATAGAAGCTAACTAGCATTTCTCATTGCTTAGAATAAAGTCGTATATTTTCTGTGTTACTGATTGCACTCTAATCATGAAAGCTGAGATGTTGGGAACAAATTTATAAACAAACAATGGAAAGATTTTTTTAAAAACACACCATCTAAATGGTACTAATCACTAATAATAACCTCTCAGTGCATAGGAAAGCAGTGGCAGGTATAAAGGTTAGACTTGTTTTGTAAACTGCAGACAGTTTGAGTTTGGGTCTTCAAGCTTGAATTGTATTGCAATGGCAATAACAAACTAGAACATTTCTGTGAACATCCATGACAAAAATCCATGCTACCTGCATGGACACCTGCACAAGAAAAACACATGACTATTCTTACACAATCCCAAATCTGATTACAATCAAGTATTTAATTATGCATACAAATGGTTGACAATTTCAAAGCATTACCACTGGTCTGCGTGGAGGAATATTAGAGCTTCCTTGAATATACAGATACTGTCTTTGCACTTTCCTTGTGCATGCGCAAAGCGTCAAAACACTTCTTATAAGGCATGGAGAAAGCATGTGTTTCTGCATGCGTGTCCAGGTCTGTGTCAATATATGCTGCCTGCAGGAAAATATGCATGTAATTTAATTGTATGCGCATGTGTGCGTGTATTGTATACTGCGTTTGCTGCCAATATGCAAACACACATTGAGCGCATATGTGTGAGAGCGTCTCGGCTCGTGGTGGTTTTGTAAGTGCATGAAAATCATTTATTCATGTTTCACTCTCTCTGTGTCTCTTTCAGTGTGTGTGTGTTGAATACAGAGTCAATTTTTGTCTTGCAAGCGTGCTCTAATAGCTACTCTTTGCTTACATGCGAAGCTAAAGGTTAGGCTATCATGTCTTTATTTTTGAATACTGAATGGTGTGTTTATGTTCTCCATCTCTTTTCCCTTTTATATCTTGGCAATGAATATATATATATATATATATATATATATATATATATATATATATATATATATATATATATTTCTTTACACTAAATTCTCGCCTCTTTGCCCCATCTACTCTTTGACTCCTCTAAATAGCTATCAGAATTGTGTGTGCGTGTCTGTGTGTAAGGAAGCTTTAAAAATGCATATATTCTATAAGAGGAAAGAGGAAACAGAGCGTGGTGAAAAGAAAAATACAGCCTCTGTGTGTGTTGTCAGTTGACTTGACATCTGATCTTGCTGAGTATGGTAAAGAAGAAAGTGCTGAAAGTACTCTGTGTGGGGGATCCTCTGTGTGTGAGCGAGTGTGTGTGAGCTAAAGTGTGTCTATGGTATTTTGTGGCCTGTGTGTGTCCTCGATTCTGTGTGGGTGGTGAGAGGAGGGAGTAAGGGAATAGGGTGTGTGTGATTGCATTTAGTTTAAGTGTCAGCATGCCTTCGTGTGTGTCTGTGTGTGTGTGTGGTGAGCAGGAAAAAGAGAGGGGGAGTCAGACAGTGAAAGAGAAGCTGAGAGATGGATGGCAGGGAGGGTGACGAGGGAGGAAGAAAGGAAAAGGAGAGCAAAGAAAATGCTGAAGAGAAAGTGAAGGGAAAGCAGGAGATAAGATGGAAGGGTGTTATGATGGAAGGAAAGCCAGTGCCCGTTCTTCTTCTCTTTCTTATTCCAGTTTATGTTTTAGGCTTCTTCACTGTTGTATAAATGTTATATGAACTGCGGATGCTATGAATGAATGTTACATAAAAAAACCTCTTTCTTTCTTCTCTTTTTTTTTGTTTTGTCTTTTTCAGAAAAGATCTCCCCAGAGTTTCTCCTGACAAATAGACCAGTTTGATGCACACATGAATACACATCACATGTGACCAACTGCTTCTTTATTGTCTACAAGCAGGAGAAATCCTTTTACCTGTTTCTTCTTTATTTGTGTCCTTGTGTGTATTTTATGAGTTCCATCAACAGGAAAGTGTCCCACTGAAGGAAATCTATCAATGTTTAATCCCCTGTGTTCTGAAAACGCACTCTTGACAAACAAGAAACAAGGCAGAGTGAGAAGGCATGACTCAAAAAAACGTAACATATCGAGTACTTGTACCTTTTGGTTAGCTGAACAAAGATTTTGAACATACATGCAAAAAAACAGGGTAAAAAAACAAACAAAAAACAGGTGAATGCAGGCAAGGCAGGCAAAGAGGAAATTTGCATGTTTCTTCTCTTCTTTCCTTCATTTGGATTGCAGTGTTGATCTGTTTCCTGGGTCGTTGTGCTAGCATCATAAAATGCCCATAAAGTCACCAGTCAGGAAAATGTTTAGTTTGTACAGCAAGGCTTCGATAGGGCTTCTATGGTCATTACAAAGGATAGCGGTTTA